GTGCTCTTCCGATCTATTTTTTAAATTTTTGAATGTTTTTCACAAATAAGCTTTTTTGAGGTCACAAATAAGTCTTTTTTAAAATAATGAGGCTAGTTTAATATCTTGGCCATAATTTTATTGATTTGACGACTATTTTTGATCAATCAATTTTTAAATAATTATACATCTAAATTATAAAAAAAATTGTTCTTAGTTTTAGAAAGAACGTAAATGAAATTTTTATGTATTTGGCGTACATTTTTTCTTTTTTTAAAAAGATTTTTTATGGTTATATAATGTAGAGATACGGATCATCTTCTGATGACTTTGACTTGACATATGTTATCAGAGTCACTGTTTTGAGTAACCCTCATGTGATGATTTTAGTTGGCGCTTATTATTCTTTAAAAAGTTATTAACAAAAAAAGCGCAATGATTTCACATGGGTTTTCGATTTTCCATTCAAAGCGGGGTCCATTTAATTCTCCCCTCTCTTCCCCGCTTTACGTGTGTCATTCTATTGATTAATTTCAGTAAAGTAAACACAACTTTCTTTCAGCAAATAATATAATGCGAAAGCGTATGAGGTGTTAAAATTAACCCAGACAAAACAAAGTCTAAAATTGGGATGTTAAAATGTTTTTTTTAAACGTCTTTTAGACGTTCTTATAAATATCTTTTAAGATGATTTTTAGATGTCTTTAAGATTATGTTTTGATTTTTTGTGTTGTCTTTGGACTTTGTGTTGTCTAAAGGTCAGAAAAATTATTTTTACACGCGCGCGATCAACACTTTTCTGACGCTTCTGATTTGATTCACAAATATAATTAATAATACATATTGTCGATAACTAACAAATATGTTAATTATATATGTTATATATTATTAATCAGCTTAAACTTATTGTTAGCAAGGTAGCTGTCAAGTACAAATACTAGTTGTTAACAGATAATCACTATATGTTGTTCCAACAATTTACAGATCTGCATCACAGACATATATGCTTGTTTAAATTATTTTATTTCTTCATTTAAAATTGTAGCATTTTTGATGATTCGGCATTTTACTTACTTAGATCTTCAGTCCCAAAAGCTCATCTTATAAGTAAACGCGCTACTGGCAATTTCATCCATATATAGTTTTAACGTAGTGTTATCGTTATAGTTATCAAAATTACTCACAAAATTATCTTCTAGAGATTAATGTATAATTTGTACATACATGTAACAGTTTATAAAATTTCCTGAAAATAGTGAAAATATTAAAATAGAAATTTTCATATACTAATGTGTGGAAATATTATATATTTTAACAAAATAAATTGTACATTATTTATTTTTTTTAATGTGTAATATTAATAGAGTATAGATATAATTTTTTAAAAACACAAATTAGGTTTAATTGCGGTACAATAAAGGCAAAATAAAAAGAAGAAACAAATAAAATTTTGCAAAATTATATTTTTTGTAGACAATTTTATTATATTGAGAATGTAAAACAGTAATTGAATTTGTTAGAAATATTTATTAATTTTTTCCTAAAAAATTCTTTCTAAATGTTATAAAGTACTTTCTATAAGCATAAAACATATTCTAAAAAAATTTTATTGCAATAATTTTTTTTATTATTAATGTAATATGGATAATTAATATTATTTGGTCTCGCATTATACAAAATATTTTACATATGTGTTATACAATTTAAAAAAAATTATATGTGTTTATTTACAAAAAATAAAGCAGATTTACAAGGATACTGATTAATCAGTAATATAAATATGTTGTTGGTTAATCTTAAACGATAGGATATAAAAGTATTTTTTATCTTTAATTTAAGTTACAATCATTTGATATTCAATATATCATGGCGAAAAGATAACAGAAAATAAAATTTAATCAAATCAAATTTCGAATGTTTAATAACCTTTCTAAGTCCAAATAACTTATAATAATTGAAAAAAAGAATTTTAATTACATTTGTTAAAATGTAGAAAATTATATATGTAAGTATTAATTACAGAAAAATTTTATTCCAATAATAGATAACATATAAAAGAGACAAGACAAATTTCGTAAATAACGAATAAATTTTTATTCAATTAAACGATAATTTAAATAAATTTTTATCCAAACAATTATTTAAATAAAATATATTTTTTATCAATTATTTGTACAAATAATATTTTATTATCATATTATTAAATAATGTAATAATTTAATTAAATTATAATTATTTAAATTATTATTAATATTAATATAAATAAAATTATTTATAAATTTTTATCATTGTATATTCTAACTATTATATTTGTTTGCGCAGACATTGCTGAACTAGAGAAAAAAATTAAAAAGGTCTTTAGATTATGTTGATAGATAATGATTAATAGTTATACAATTGATTGCACATTTATCATTTTATATTAATCTTTTATTTATTGTAATTTTAGGAGTGCAAACTATATACAGCATTGTGATTGTTATAATCTCTGTCATAGTCTGATTCTTGTTTTTCATCAATGATAAGTATCATTAAAAAAATCTTATATAAAGTTGAGCGATAATAAGTTGACGTAATTATTTCGAATGAGCGATTAGATAATCGAAACAGTAGCCAGTAGTCATTTGAGAGCGCTTTATAGTTAAAGAACTCCGCTTTATAGTAACATACTTTTTTCATAATAAAAACATTTGTAATAACATAATATCTCTAAAATAAGTAAAATTTACAAAAACGGAATAATTAAAAATTATACATATACATTTTTTTTACTAAATTTATATATTTGTTACTCACATATATATTTACTATATATAAAAAACACATTATATCTCTTTAAATTTTGTAGTGATAATGTGATAAAGTATAAATAATGTATGTTTCAGTGTACCTTTGATGAAACATATTTAAGGTATCAAGATAATACATTTTATTTTGAAGCAAATAATGTATATTCAATGATTTGTGAATTAAAATGTGAACAAGAGGATCAAGAAAACAGAATTTGATTAAATCGACTAATTATTTTTCGTCAACAAAAATGATTGTTACTATATTGCTACTATTGCTACTATTTATTTTTATTATATTGGTGTGTAATTATTATGTGCATTACGGAAGAAAAGGGAGACTTATAAATCTTATACCAGGACCACGAGGTTATCCGATTATTGGAAATGTATTGCAATATCTCGGTTCACGAGGTAAGTTCCTTATACATTTGTGTAAATTAATGTTCGCTTTTGCACCCACGTAAGCAAATGTAATATTTGTAGCATTCCATTTTGAGACATATAATTATCAATTATTGTGTGTAGATTACTTTTAAGAATTAATTTAAGCAATGTATTCTTTTGTAGTGATAACATTTTATTTTCTAAATTTAATTGAAGTTATATTTGAGAAACAATAATAGAATATATTAAAAATAATAATAGAGACCTACTGATTTTTATAGAAATTTGTGGAGACACCCAGTTATATATTTCTTGATTGATGTATAATTGTAATATTGATATGTGTTTACATTTACAATTTACGTAATACATACATACATGTGTATTCTTTAGAAGAAATATGGAAGCTTGTAGTTGAGCTTCAAGATCAGTACTATCCAATTGTCAAAGGATGGCAATTATTTTATCCACTTGTATGCATCCGTCATCCGGATGATCTAGAGGTAATAAAAAATAAAAGATATTCGGTTTGTTCTGGTTTTTGTTATTCCAATATTTTATTATAATTTTATTATTAATTAATAATTATACAATTTATTTATTGTTTTTATTTATTTTGCAAAAATATATGCCTATAAATATCTCTTAATAAGGATAATTGAATCTCATAAAAAGAGCTTAATTTATAAAAATAAAAAATGTATGCTAAGTACATAAAAACCATCTAAATAATGTTTTTTTCTCCCGATTCTGCTCTCTTCTTGTATTTTTGTTTCTCTTATGCTATCTCTTTTTTCCTTTGAAGTAAATGTTAATTAATAGAAATACATAATAATGGACAATAATAGAACATTGGAAGTTCTTTGAAGAACAAAATCGCTTTATACGTCAGTTTCGTAAAGATTGAACCTGAACTATAAAAATTAATTATATTTCGGGAAATTATTGATCTTAAGATTTCAACAAATGCACTTATTTTGTAATCGAATTGGTTTGCATTAATATTGCACTACAAAAGTGTTTTTAGATTTTTTTTTATTACAGATTTAGTTTTTAAGATATTTTAACTAAAAATTCATTTAATATGTGTGTGCGAAATTTTAGATAAGCACTACTTGGTAGCGCCGTGACATTATACGCTTTGTAGTTATATGAGCAAT